CAGCACCCGCCGCGCCGCAGCTCCGGGACCGGCCCCGGCCGCCGCCGCCGCGATGGGCAACGCCGCCGCCGCCAAGAAGGGCAGCGAGCAGGAGAGCGGTGAGTACCCGGGCCGTGACCCCGATCCTGGCCCCGCGCTGCCAGCCCCCACCCTGTCCATCACCGCCTGGCCCCTCCCCCCACGCGCCCCCCCATCTCTCTCCGCTTACCCCCCAGCGCTCCTTCCTCCTACTTGTCCAAGATTGGGGCCCAGGGCCCCCAGAAGACTCCCGTAGGGGCCCCTTTGCCGAAGGCCGCCCCCCACTGCAAAGACTGTGCCCCCCCACCCAGCTGTCACTGCCAACCATGGCACGTATGACCGCTGGGGCCTCGCATGGGAGCCTGTCACCACCCCACCCTCTCCTTTCCTGGGCCCTCTCCCCAGATTCTAACCCCCACTTCCTCACTTTTCCCACAGATGGGACCCACTGCCAGACCCCGACCCAGACATCTACCAGTCTGGGAGTGCTGTGGGGTCTGCCTCCACCCCACAGGGACCTTGGCCACTTGGTGACCACACCCCTCCCCCCTCCAGCCCCCGCCATCTTTCTCCTGCCCTTCCCCTCTTCACCTTACCACAGCCCCCCTCCAGACCCACTCTGCCGCCTTGAGCATTTCCCAGAGCCACCTCCAGCATTGTTTTTCTCTTCTGTGTCACTTGGCATGGGGGACAGGATCTTTCTGGGTCCCTCTGCCCCTCTCTCATCCTGTCACTCTGCTTCTCTGCTTGTGCTCCCTTCTCCAAGCAGGCGTCTGTCCCTGGCTGGGGTAGCAGACTGTTTGTGAACGTAGAGAACCGCATCAGTTCTTCCCAAGCCAAGTTTGAGCCGATCTTGCTGGGATTCATTGCGTCCTCTTTGCTGGAGTGGGGTGGGGGGCGGCAGCAGAGCCCCTTCCCATCTCCTGCTGTGCAGTGAGCTCTAGGATCCTTGGAGGCCCCTCAGTACATGGTTGTTTCACAACTGAGGCTCCGTCATTCACCCGGCCCCCCGGGCTTCTTCAGCCGCTGCTCGTCCTGGATGAAAAGTGGGAGATGAAGAGTGTGTTTTGCCAGACTTATTCAGCTTGAGCTGGGATGGTGAACCGGAGGACTTGGGGTGGCAGTCGGGGACAGCAGTGGGTGACATCTAATGGGTTGCTTTGCCAGGGGACAGATAGATTCTGATCACTCCCAGAGCTCAGCCAGAGAGAGGCCTGTTTCCGCCTCAGCCCCCAAATTATGTTGGCCTTTTCCAGCCAGCCAGAGAAAGAGATTCTGTGTCTGGAAATGCCTTCAGAAATGGGCTGGAGCCCCTTCCTCAGTTCCTCCAGCTCTTAAATTGTCATCACGCCAGGCCTAAAGCTGGACCTAAGCTAGGATCCCCTTCCTGGTACTCAGAAAGTCAGAGCCAGCAAGGAAGCCACGTCCAAAAACTCTCTTCCCAGTTGCTGGTCTCAGATCCCAGGATCTGAGTGTCCTGAATGCTCCCTCCCAGAAAGACCTGGGCATGAAAGCCAGGGGACTTTATTCCCATACGGAATCAAATGGCAAACCTCAGAGTAGCCAGGCAGCCATGGGGAGGCCTGATATGTCACCGATAGGCGGGGGCCGGGGAGGCCAGTGCCTGTAGCTGAGTGCTTGATGACAGAGGAGCAGGTGGGTAGTGACCAAAAAAGGTCTCAGCATGAGCTTGGAGGGGACTAGGCTGGGGGGAGGGGCTGGGCCCCCAGCAGGTGAGGCCGGCTGGGAGGTGGAAGGTAGAGGCAGGCAGCTGTATATTGCAGTGGCTCAGTTGAAAGTTGGGGAGATGACATAGTTCTGGAAAACTTTCAAGGCGTATCAGACACATGTGGTGGGGGGGGGGTGGAAAGCCGCACAGGGAAAAGGATCCCCAAGAAAAAGATCAGAGGCTCTGGAAGGAACCGCTAATTCTCTCAGAGCGCAGGCTGGACACCCAGGAATGGAGCATCACGATGCAATAGAGCCCATTTATCTAGGATGTGCCAGGCTAAATGGGCTCCATAGATCTGTCTGCTCCAGTGATTTCCATAACGGC